ATTATTTGGTAGTACCAATACTCATCAATCTTCTCCAGGGGTGAACTGGCTGTGGTCAAGCGGCACGGAATATTTTTAAAGGGCCCACAACTCCAGATTGATGTTATCATTGTGCATTTTTCCTCCATTAAAGCCTGAATATTTTGCCTTGGTATAAAGGATTGGAAATGGTAAAATGGAAAAAATAGCAACAAACTATTTTTAAAAACATTCTAAACACTATTAGGACTATTACCGCTTCGCTCCTCGGGGTCCTCCGAGATGTTTTCCAGGGAGCCCACCGAGATTTTTTCCAGGGAGCCCACCGAGATTTTTCCTGGGGGCCCACCAAGATTTTTCCTGGGGGCCCACCGAGATTTTTTCCTAGGGCCCACCGAGATTTTTTTCTGAGGGCCCACCAAGATTTTTCATGGGGGCCCACAAACATTTTTCATGTGGGCCCACCAACATTTTTCCTGTGGGCCCATCGACATTTTTTCCTGGGGCCCACTGAGAAACTCCCCGATAGACCGGCGGGCCAGTCTACCCCTGATCTTTCACGCCAAAAACTAGTGTTCTGTACACGAGTTCTGTGTTTACATCCTTTGTTTCCCCGTACTAGACTCTAGAATCCCGAGGTCCGGAATTCTTTCAATCCGAGTGGTTAGTGTACACCGGCTTAACTTTAATTAGGACAGATTTTCTGCCCCCTCCCCGTGTGCTCTTTTATCGTCTGCTACGTGTGGGGTTGTATGTCGGCTGTTGTCTGAGACTTGCAGGGGTCGTTTTGCGTGGGGGCGTCGGCTTTGAAATTTGAGCGCCGAGGAGCTTTAGTGTATGTCTACCACAGACAAAATAGTACCAAGTGAGACTATGAATATAAGTTATATAGTTTTGCGAGAGATCGGAAACAAAAAAAAAAGTAAGTTTAACTAAAACTACAAATACCAAAAAAACGTTGAATAGTGACATTCTAATGAAAAAGATTTTTTAAAATTCAGTTTAAGCTATACAAGTCCAAATAGATTTTAATTTTTTGAGTTTTAAATATTTTCACCAAAAATTTGCTCTCCGTGATCAAAACTAAATTTACTAAGCATTGCTATTTCAAGCGCTTCTTTCAGGCATTTTTTAAATTAATTTTCCAGTATGGGGTGGGGGTAGGGAAGCTGGCTGATGTTTTTTTTTTCTATTAATTTAAAAAAAACATTTCGTCCGAAGAGGGGGGGGGAAGGGGCAGTGGACGTGCTCAGAACATGACCCACCCCACCACCCATTTCACAGTGAGGTGCCTGAAAAAAAACTCTGGCTAATTTGTATTTGGCTTAACGATAAGAATCAATCATGACTCCACACGAGAGAAGATGTTTCATTCATTTATTGTTGACATCTTTAACATGGACATCGTGAAACACAGAAATGCACACACAGATTCACGGAACAGAAAACAGCACACACAGACAGGGAACCATGTCGGTGACTCGCTTTAAAGCAAGTCGCCAAGCCCACATCCAAGTAAAGAGTAATTTCTTGCTACATTTTCATTAAGTGTTGAGAACATTTGACCGCCCACAGAAATATATAGGCATCACATAACACATTCTAGAATTATCATAGGCGGATGATGAAACATAATCTGAAACACATATTTCACAATTCTACAGTAGGTAAATAAACTAAATGAAAACTAAATGTAATAAAATCAAATTTAGTCCTTACTTCATTATTGGCGTAACATACTTGAATTCTAATCACAGTGGTACAATTGCAAAATAATGGAAACTAAATTCCTGAACTTAAACTGAATAAAGAGATATAAAAATTCAACACATACTTAGCCCTTATCTCATTATTATTTCATTATTATCTCATTATGTTCAATTACTCTCAAGCCAAGTTCACCACAAAAGCTAAAAAAAGCAAGCTTTCAAAATCAAAACAAGATATTCTATGTATTTAATATAGTATTATTCAATAAAATAAATATAGTCTTTCTCGCAAATAAAATACTCTTATTATAAATTTAATGAAATGGCAGTTATACTTCAAGACAGATGAGTATTATTACCTTCAAATATCAAAGAACACCCCTAAAATACATAGTCAAAATGAGTATTTCGCGATCATAAAGTCAATGCATATCCCATAATGATATAATTAAAATAATTATTCCGCAGTCATGATTTTAATGAACGTCCCATATTTATATATAGATTTATATGTATAACGTGAACACAGTATCAATATACGTGAATTACTTCCAAGTATAATTAATAAATTCAGGGTTATATCTCACCTCATTTCACAATAAACAACTGTTACATAATATAGCGAGCCATGAAGAATTGAAATATTTACAATATAATAACAACATGATAATATAGAGTATATAAATACAACAAAATAATACTTTAAAAGTAATTACAATCACAAAATATTGGTAAACGATTTTTTTTCTCTACGGCAAAGTTCTCGTTTCTTTAAAATAACTATAACATTTATACACGTCGTAACATTCTTTTTCATAGAATGTTCGTATCGCGACTTACATACCTGATAACCTAATTAACTTTACACACATGTATATATGTGTGCCACACACAGAATAACATCCTAATTTAACAATGGACGTACACATATATACATATGATACATAAATAGGAACATAATTTAAACGGATACACTTGTAAGACAATCTAAGATACACAAGAAACGTCAATTTTAAATGGACATACAGGCGTACGCGTGTATATGTATCATATGATACACGCAGGATACATAATATAACATGACACACACAAACGTCATACATATTCGCATATGATACACGCAGAGTAACATAATAAAAGAGGAGGCGTAGACACATACAAGCACACACTCATCAAAAGAGACACAGAGAACAGTATACATCACGGTACCCACTCACACCTACACACATATTTACTCACAGGTTGATGCTTCATAGCACATAAGTCAAGCACAGACTACCATATTTCACAATGACATACACATACACAATCATCATGACATTATGACTATCCACCAAATTACCAATAACAGTTAACAGCAGTGAAACATTCTGAATTTTACCAGATAGTGTGAGCAAAATAAGTGGGCTAGATGATACAGAACCAGAATATGAAGACGACACAAACGATGATAATCAGGATGAAGACCCACCCTCCTATGACACCCAGTAGTGCCAGATAAGGATGAGCGAATTCAATAAATTAGCAGACGGGTGAGCACACGATAAGATAAGAGTTCTAGACACAGGGACAAGACAGGGGCGATAACACACAACTTCCACACACAGTTCTCTATGTGTTGTATAGAGAATTAATACATTTATTTCAACGATTGCGCAGACACTGAATTACCCTGTTGCGTGGTGTAAAAACAGATTAAATATTTAACACGAGTAAATGATTTGACACCTCGAGTGTGAAATGTAACAATAATGTAGTTTTTTTTTTTTTTTTAAATTAAATTTCTCTTACCATTAAGATAAACTTTATACACACCAGTGGCGCAGCCAGGATCGTCTCAAGGGGGGGGTTCCAATTTTTACCCGGGGACAAGCTTTCGATTTGCATCTCCCCCCCTCAGACTTTTGATTTGCACCCCCTCCTCAAACTTTCGATTTGCACCCCCCCCCTCATACTTTATATATATACCGAGGGGTCTATAGGGGGGGTTATGACCCCCCCCCCCCCCTAATCCCCCCTGCCTACGTCACTGATACACACACAATGTGTCCTGCACTGACATGATTAGCAGATTATTTAACTAAATAGCCAAGGATCAGCTCAATTTTAAACCAATAATTCATTAATTTTTGTCTATATAAACATAAATAGTTTCATAGAACTGGTTTCGATAACGTGGCCCATACGTTTAGTTTTGTTTAAAATAAAAATAATAAAGTTAACTTAGAAAACTCAAAATGCATCTATTGTTTATTTAATTTCCTAATTCAAAACTTTTAAGTATGAAAAAAAGAACAAAATTGTATTTTTGGATAAGGTAATTATTTGAGAAAAAAATAAATTATGAAAATTTTACCTTGCTTTGGTTTGGTACACGAAATTAAGTACATATTTTGCAATTGAGTCGCTTGATTAGACAATGTTGACTTGTTATACTAATTATATTACTTTTTTAATCGAAGAAATGCTAATATGAAATAAATGGAATAATTATTTTTTTTAACTTTTAAATAATATATTTTCTAGTTTTCTGTGCATCAGGCACCATTTAATTAATGAAAAGTTTATTGAAACCAAAGCCACTTAATTTTATTTTTTTTAAGTTGGCTATTAAGTCGTACTGACAAAATATTTTACTTTACAATATAAACTAACATTCGCGGGCAAGCGAGAAGCAAGGATAAACACAGACACATTTATTTGTGATCATCTTATGAGCCAGTTACCAAGACAACAAATAAAGATTAATCGTGAAAAATAATTAGTTAATTTGTGAAAATAAATATCATTATATTAATGAAGTGAGAATTACTTTGTGATATTTTCTCGTTTTTTTTTTAACATAAGGAATCGTGTAAGACAAAATTGTCACTTAGGATTCAAGTCCTGCTTCGTGAAGTCCGCGTACTGACGCGTGTAGCAGACGTCAAATCATTCCATCGGAAACCGTACGAGAGTTTACAAGACAAGCAGACGAAAATTCCTCAAATATTTGAGAATCGGCGTGGTGTAGTTTAGTATTTGAATTAGGAATAGGAATATTTGCACGTGAGTATCACCCAGACAAATGTTTATAAATTCTGGAGCACGCGTATGTCAACCTTGACCCCTGGGGCAGTTCACGATGAGCTGCGACTGCTGACGTGTCGCTGTGTGCTGCAGTAATTTCAAAACACAATCACATACCATCGTCATTTTTTAAAGATATTGTTCCTGTGCTGAATCGGAAATTTCCGAAAATTAATAGGGTATTTTTTTTTTGCAGCTCACTATATGGAAATTCCCGAAAATTATTTTTGTATATATTTCGGAAATTCGTATTTATTTTAAATCTTGGTTGAAGTTTATATGATGGCAATACATATGATGCGCGTCTTAGTTTGTTGTCATGACAACAGCAACACACAACACGTGCTAGTATAAAGAGAAACTTGATTTTTAAATAACCATCCACGGAAAATCAAGATGCAGACTTTGATCACAAAGCGTCACTGGGATAATATCGACAGGGGACGCTGGGCGGATGATTGTATCCGAAGAAGAGTTATGGCGTGCCGTTTTGTCACAAATCAACTTTATCTTCTGTTCTTGTTAAGTCGTAAATAATTGTTAATCTGATTGTTTTCTCATCTTCCGTCCAAATCTGATTTCAAGTCTTAATACAAAGGGGGTTTGATTTTTTTTTTTAGTAGGAAGAGGGTGTCGCTTTTTAAAAATAGCAGTTGGCAAGTTCCGAAATTTTTTTTTTTTTTTTTTAAAATAGGGTCTGTATTCCTACATGAGTTTGGCCATATTTTTACAATTAGCCTGGCTTTGGCCTATTGGGCCGTTACATGACAATTGGGATAACTTTAGCCTATTTTGGCCATTACATGACTATTTGGCTGACTTTAGCCTATTTTGGCCATTACATGACCATTTGGCTGAGTTTGGCCTGCTGCTCTTCGGCCACCTTCTCGAGAGCGTTGGCCAGGTTCATGTTCTTTGCGATGTGCGACAGCTTGTGGTCCTTCTTCCACTTCATGCGGCGGTTCTGGAACCAGATCTTGATCTGCCGCTCCGTCAGGTTCAGGGCGTGGGCGATCTCGATCCGGCGCCGGCGGGTGAGGTACTTGTTGTAGTGGAACTCCTTCTCCAGCTCCAGAGTCTGGTGGCGGGTGTACGACGTTCTTGACCTTTTCGTGTCGGACTCGCTGCCGTCTGGTGGGAAAGAAAAAAAAAATATTTACGATTTTGTTTTCAAAGACCTGGAGTCCTTAAGGGAAGGAGTGGTCTAGCGGTAGAGAGTTGGACTGCTAACCCGTAAGTCTCGAGTTCGAATCCGGGTTCAAGTCACTAGACCGTGCCTAAGTAAAGGGAAATTAAAGGCCGCTGGGCATAGTGCTGACCACACTGTCTCTTCATATGAAACAGAAACAAGTGAACCCTACTTCACTTTTAGACCGTCAGGTTTGAAAAGGAACTTTACTACCTGGAGACGCTATTATTTGAGTTTAATATCTTAAGTTTTCTTATTATTTTTTCAAATAGGCACAAACATACATGTTAATTTTATTTATTTAACGATTTGTTTTTATTTTATTTTTTATTTTTTCTGACGAGACCTACAGTTGAAATGCTAATTAGCAGCGATTAATTACTTTTTTAAAGATTAATTACTTAAGTTTTCTTGATTTAAATAGGTACAAACATGTTCATTGTATTTGCCAACAGTCGAAACGATATTAGAATCCAGTATATATCTTTCAATATCTTTCACTTTTTAAACCGGTAAAAATATTCATTGTGTTATTTCCTTTATTTTTTTTTTTCTTTCTCGCTAGGATGATGAATCGAAAAGATATTTTAATTTCTTAAGTTTTCTTCTTATAGTTAGTGTCGAATTCAATAGCTCCATCAAAGACTACACAATGCATTTTCTCCTATATTGTCGTGTCCTGATGCACACTCCCCAGCCATCATCACCGCCTCCCCCCCCCCCCCCCCGCCGTCCTGCTATCGTTCACCCGTCTTGCATATAGGGGGCCTACCCTCATGCGACCTTGGAATAAATAAGTACCCGGGGTTATCTCAATTCACACAAGCACTATCCTCTGAGTTCTAGAAGATTTTAACCTAACCTCAACATGACCCGTAACACTTGTAAAAAGTCTAACATAAACAGTATAAATTGTATTTGTATTAGTTTTATGGATAGTATTTGGTACGGCGAAGACATGGAGTCGATATGGTATCAATCACTTTTGATATCTCAATCTATATATATAATTCTCCTCTTCGAGCCGTTAGAAAACAAGCTGCAAAAGCTCTCCCTACCTCCCCACCCCTACATGGTTTTAATGAGCTGTGTTCACTCTAAATGTTTACAAGCAGAGCCAACGATTTTAAACGTAGGGGGGGAGGGGGGGGGGAGGGGGGGAAGGAAGGGGGGGGGGGGGTTATGGTCCTTAACGAGCTACTTATAGTGTTTTAAAAAAATATTTTCAGTGTCAGCGTTGGTACTGTCGAATTCACAAAATATGAATTATTGAAAATTAGAAACAACTAAATAGCGGCGTATGTTATGCCGCGGGCCGGCTCGTAGGAAATATTTACTTCTTTTTAAAAAAAAATATAAATGGAAGTGTTTTAAGACATTATTAAAATAAGACGACAGTAAATATTTAAAGTCAGGGGTCTCAACAAAATTAAACTACTAATAATTAGAGGAAAAATTTTGTAGTAAAATTGTAAGAAAGTGATTGCGTAAAATCTATATTACAGCATGCTTGCTCAGACCTAGTTAAACTTCATTTCTCTTACTTTAAATTGTCTACATAATTTAAGTAATTAGGCTATGTAGTCCAATCAAAAATCGAGAACTGCTTAATATAACTAATCGAACAATTGCATAGCTAATTTAAAAGTATTTACGGGTGAACTATTTGTTACAGGATTTACAACAACAAAATAACTAATAAAAATAACAACAAACACACACACACACACACACATATATATATATATATATATATATATATATATATATATATATATATATATATATATATAATGGCATGTTATGCATATTATACTATTAGAAAATAGTAAATTATAATTAGCTTTATTTACACAGTACCCGATTCCCCCCCCCTCCCTCTCCTCTCCGTCCCACCATCTACGGCGCCAAACAATCAAACAGACAGACAGACCTGCAAAACGACACCGACACGCGAACCCCACTCGCGCTGGCCAGACCTGGCGTATCCAGAGACACACACCAAACATCCCTCACCATCCAATCGCGTCGGCCATAAACAACAGCAGCCCTGTGGCGGCTCCCAGACCTAGCGATCAGTCGCTGAAGTTTCCCCCTTGGTCTTCGCGATCTGTCGCTAAGTCCCCATTTGCTTATCGCGCTACAAGACTAATGCCTTAACGCCAGGGTGTGAAGATGCGGGTAATTGCCAGCGGACCCCGGTGTCCGGCCCTGGACCGGCTCATTATCAAGCCGGGTCCGGTCGTGACCGTGGCTACTATCTGTGATTTATAGTGGACGGGCATCGATGGGGGAGTCCGATTTGTCTGAGGCTATGGGGAGGGGAGATGAGACTGTTGAGAGTTTGCATTGGGTGCTTTTGGGCGTTGGATGGGGGGGGGGGGGGGTTAGAGCTTGTGGGGGGGGGGGGGAAGCATAGGGCGCTTTGGGCGTTGGGGAGGTTAGTGTGCAGGGAGCATAGGGCGCTTTGGGCGTTGGGGAGGGTGCTTGGTGCTTTTGGAATGTAGGGGTTGTTGGACATATTGGACATACGAGGGGTGAATGGGGCATGGGGCGTATGGGTAAATGCGGTGGTTGGGGATGTTTTGGCGAATCTTATGACAGTTCTGCGAGGGATTGAACTTTGTTAATATGGGATATATATATATATATATATATATATATATATATATATATATATATATATATATATATATATATATATATATATATATATATATATATATATATATATAAGGAATTTAAAAACCAATTTAAAAATCACAAATGATGCAATTAAAAAACTATTGTTAGCTATTTTTTTGTTTAATTATTTCCTGGGAAATTTATCATAATAATACTTAAGTGTCCGATATTCGTCTTATATCAGTATTACCTTTTTATCGTTATTAGAATATTGCTTGATTAGACTTCGCAATGTATATAACTGTTTTTAATATTCAAGCCTAACATTACAAAAATTGTAACGAAATATTTTACAAAACATTTAGCTAGAGTTGAATACAATGAAAGTGGTATCTAATTTTTTTTAAATGAAAGAATTATAATACCCGTAATTTTATAATACTCGTAATATATACTCTCTTAACGTGTGTAAGTGATATTTCTGAATCTTACTTGAACAATTCAAGTAGTTTTTTTTTGTAATGAGTAGACCTATACTCCTAACAATCGAAATTTTGTTTGAATTCTTGATTTTAAAAATTAAATAATTGTAAACACACTAAAGCTCGTGGATATACTACAAGAGTCCCTCTATTCCAACAAGGGTTAATTATTCCACGTAGCTGACCGTCTGGAAAAAAAAGCTCATTAATTAACTGCCCGGTTAGGTCCGTGGTATCGCTTTGTTTAGTCAGTGCCTCCATCTTAAACTATACTCGCGTTCTGCGCATGTCCGCGTCGTGGCCAGAGTCCGATTGGACGGTCTGTGAAAAGCACGAGTGGCAGATAATTTATTCTGCCGTCTTGAAAGAGAAAATATCTCAGTGGCATCTACTAACAAATGATTTCATCAAAAAACAAAGAAGAGCTGTGTCCAGTAGAAGTACGTATATAGTTATATAGTCAGGCCCGTGTATATAAACGTGTTTAGTCACACCGGTACAAAAATATGTTTGGACAATCTCTACAAAAGTGTAATAAAAGAGGGTAAGAGTATCATTTAGTCCAAGACTACATACGACTCACACAATTTATAAAAAAGCAGATATAAATTTATCTTAAAGTATGTATGATTTAATAACATAGTAATATTTTTAATTCTAAAAGGCTTTGATTTAAGCAAGCGAATATTCAAGTTATTACAAACAATAACAGAAGCACATACACGATTATTTAAAAATAAGTCCGTCCGAAAAATACATTTGTTGTGTGTGAATATTTGTAGGTTAACGTTTGTACCAAGTTATCAAAAAAAAATGTATCTATCACTGAACAATATATCAGTAGGCCTACACATTACATAATTTATACTTAAAACCTTTCATCTATTTTGTTATTCTCATTAAATTATAAGTTATAGGTTTGGATTTACAAATCACAAAAGAATAAACCATTATTACTAAGCGCTAGCGAGCTTAACTTAAAGTAGTTATAACTTAATAATCTAGAAATGCAATGTACTATGTATTGCATGATGATGTAGATGCTATTAAAATCAAAATAAGTTTTCCAACCTTTCAGGTGTATTAAGGTTCGAAGTTGCTCATAATTTTAAAATATCTTTTGAAAGTATATATTTTACTTTTTTTTTTTTTTTTTAAATCTTAAAACTTCTGGGTTTGTAAGAGAATTTAAAAAAAAAAAATAAACTACTCACAATGCAAAACATAATCGAAGGCATGTAAATTCTACTTTTTTAAAAATTTAATAAAAGTTGAGATTAGCGTAAATATGCTACGAGAAAATATATAATATTAAAGCAATATGCCTCGTGTTTTGAAATATTTTAAAAATATGTTTATCATGCCGTTTTTCCGCACACGTCATTAGTAAGATAGCCGTTTGACATTAAAGTACAGATTCAAATTTCTCCTCACACAAAAATATCCTTCCGCGGTCATTACAGATGTAACGGAACTACTTAAACCTCAGATACGTGATGAATTACAGTCAATGTTCCCCGTCGCGTTCCGCATGAAAAGACCCGTAACTATTTTTATACAAATTTCAGCCCGTGAAACTAGGGTTTTTTTTTTCGTAGAGTGCAGAAAAATCTCTTAAAAACTCGTTAAAATGCGATCGTCCATAGAAATCATTGATGCACCCAACAGCTTAACGCGTTTTTAATAGCTCGCCGCGAAAATAAATCAACGCGCGTTGCCAATTTAGCGTTATGCGGGCGATAAGGAAAAAAAAAAATAATAGCGTATGTGAGTAGATTGGCCAGATAAACGTGTGACGGTAAGTTCCAAAACAAGTTTATGGCCAGATTTAGCAT